GGATGTTGACTACTGAGCCTCTATTATTCCAGGTTTCTGATAAATATTTGGACAAAACTCCTCTGTCCCACCCACCAAATGAACATGTAAGAAAGCGCAACTGTGTTAAGCCATATAAATTTATTTACTTAAGCTGGGCTCGGTGGCTCAGCCTGTAATCCCGCGCCTTTGGGAGGCTGAGGTGAGTGAATTGCCTGAGCCCGCGGGTTCGAGACCCGCCTGGGCAGCGAGACCTCATCTCTACAATAAATCAAAAAATCAGCCAAGCGTGGTAGCGCATGCCTATAATTTCAGCTACTTGGAAGGCTGAGGCAGAAGGATCACCGGAGCCCAGCAGGTCGAGGCTGCAGTGGCTGGGAGCGGCCACTGCACTCCAGTCTGGGCAACAGAGTGAGACTCCAACTCAAAAAAAAAAAAAAAATTTATGTACTTATGTTTCATTTATTAAACCTCTATTTATATGCATTTCAATGTTTATGATCAGTTTATATATTTTAGTAATACTAATGTAATAAAATATTTTTGTGTAACTTCATCAATTCATCCGATATTTTCTAATTGCATACAAGGATCTAAAAAAATAGCCAAGTCGCGACTGTATAGTAATCACATGAGGCTAGGCAAGTGAAAGGTTTTCAAGAAGTCAAAACTATCATACTTTAGGTCACCTGTCTTGTGAAATGAAATAAATTTAGTGAAATGAAGTTCATTTCAGGAAGAAAGGAAAAACGCCATGTTTTTAAAAACAAACAAGTTAAAAACCTCTCTTTAATCGTTGTGAAAGCCAAATGACTTTGAAAGAGAGAGTTCTCAAGTTTTACAAAGTGGGAATAGCAATGTGGTACAGAGTTAATTTTCATAGAAATTAAAATTTTAATAAGTACCCCTGTTTTAATGATGAATAAGGTCCTCGATTACCCAATCATATCAAGTCCTTCCCTTTTCTTCCAAAATCACAGAACAGATGAATCTAGACAATATTCCCATACACTGTGGTGCTGACAGATAGGCATCTTAGTAAATATCCAGTTGACATCTAACTCTTTCCTCAAAGATCAAAGTCCATATTCTGTAGGCCTCTGAGAAATATCATATAGCAGCAGCAACTGCAAAATGAGCAGAAGAGGTTGGGAGGTGTCAGATGGCTACCTAAGACTGGATTTATCTCTAGACAAGTGCTTTCCATACTAGGACACCAATGGACAACATATGTCTTACAAAAATTAACTCTCCTAGGTTGGCGTAAGTCATGGTCATTGACTTAAGCATCACATCATGAACATATTTAACTTAATCCAGGTGTATTCAGGAAATAGTAGGCTTGGATGTAGATACCAACCATATCACAGCTAATGATGAACTATATTTAAGAATTTTGATGTGCCAGATGAAATTTTTATCATTTCTCTCTACTTGATTGTTTGACAGTCTGCTACAGCAGCACTAATCAATCTGCTGTTTACCTCCATACTTTAGGCAGTGAACTGTCTGCCAATAAACAGAGTCGTTGTGATGCATTCTTTTTAATAGATTTCAAATACATGGTAAAACAAGATATGCTTCTAGATAATTTTCTGTCATAAGTTTTAAATATTATTTTAGTAGATAACCTGCTTTGCTTAGAGATTATCAACTTGAAATTCTATTACTGCTATAGATAACTTGTCTAATTAGAAAAAAATATTTGTGATATGTTTGCAATGAGTACCATTTAAACTTTATACCATAGACAAGCAAACAATGTCCTATTCATTTTGCCAGAGTTAAATTTTCCAACTCACATTCAAGAGAATGTATATTTTTCAAAACCCCTACCATGATAAATATATTCGATTTAGATTTAATTTGCATGTGTTTTGCTGATTCATTCCATTAAGATAAAAAACTCTTTAAAAAGGGTATTGTTTTTATTAGGTGTGTGTATATAAATGTGTTTATTTTAACAAAACTATTGTGTAATTTACTCAATGGTCTTTAGCTTGAGCTTTCAAAAGGTATCATGACTATAAGCAAATTGATAGGAAAGTAGATAACAATGAATTAAGGGTTACTGGCAGCCTAAGACACTGTTTATCTCTTTTAAGGTAGACAGAATTCAAATTGCCTTCATTAGCTGAGCAATATGCTGTGGAAAATGAGCTGGGTGCTTATCAAGAGGCTCTTTCATTTGCATTTTTGCTAAATAAACAAGCTGCTCTGTTTTCTAGTTGCTCAAGAGCTGTGAAAAGGAGAAAAGAAAATAATTCAGGTAAGTAAGCCAGGGGGCATTCCAAGACTAGATTAAAGAAATGAAAAAGTTTATCAATGAAGATTTCGGAATTGTGCATTGTTTATTCGTGATACAAATAATCTCACACATAGTTAGGATGTAGGAGGTACAAATGCATTAATTCTCTCTGCATCCACTAGTACAACAAGCAAAGCTAGAGGCTGTTCTTTTGATAAATGATCAATACTTTAGCCTGACACTACCCTAGCTGTCCTGTTATTGTGATTAAAAGTTTGAATTTCGATTAAGCAGTAAATCTTTATGGTATTACATTTTCAATAGTCAATTAACGTCTTCCTAATCTGTTGAAATTCTAAAACACTACTATTTTGCAGAGTCCTTTCTTTTAGGCTCATCCACTGGCAAAATATTCTTGTCTGGCAATAAAGATACACTTTTCTCCAAATAAAAAGTCAAATATTAAATAATTGTTTTGTTTAGATTTTTAGTAATTTGCCTATGTGCAAAGAATGCTATACTTTCATAGTATGTTAAGAGACAATAAAATATATTAATGGATACTCTTAGTCAAAAGTGTACTGACTTGACTGTACACCTTTAGTTCATGTTATTTTATAATTTTCCCACATATATATTCCTTTGAAAACTTCTTAAATCATATAGAACACATAAGCATTAACAGCACTCAAATCGGTATAAACATTCTTATTGCCTATGCCACAAAATCTCCCAATAGATTTTTTTCCCCAAAACTTTTTATTTTCAAAAAGAGTAGGTTGATCCCTAAGAGCCAGTTAATACTGTAGTCCCAGCTACTAAGAAAGCTGATGTGGGAGAATTGCTTGGGCCCAAGACTTCAAGTCCAGTCTGTACAGCCAGCTAACAGATGATATGCTTAAAGGGCTAGTGCAACCATCTTCATGAAAGACTTCAATATTTTAAGACAAAATGTAGGGAATTTGACAGATACCTTCTTCATATAGGATTTTACTAATTTTAAATTTAAGAGGTAACAAAGCCAAATTAACACATCCTCAAAGCTATAGATTTAAAGTTGGCTTACAATTGGATCCATCACTGCAATAAAATATAATTTTATCTGCTCAGTATATTAGAAGAAAACCTTTCCCCTGGAAGTCAATGAGGTTTTCCTGTGTCATCAAAATTCTACTAGTATAAGTGCTACTTTTCTCAATCATTGAGAATGCACATATGTCTTCCATTATTCATAATAATTTAAAAAACTGACTGCAAGAGTCTAAACTACTTCACTAGAATGCCTGTATGATTTTGAAAAAAAAAAATAAACACATTTTATTTTAAATGATTTATGTATCAAACTGGTATGGCTCCACTGTCATGCATGTTCCAGATATTTTATTATTAGATGATGAGGTATAGAGTAGGTTAAACATGCCTGCTTAAAAACCACTTTCACTTATAATACTCACAAACACTACACAGTAAAAATAAATATACTGATTTCTAAACTAGAGATTAGTTAGCCAGCATTTAATGTAAGTCAGTTTGATTCCAACATTTTTGGTTTTCATTCAATTATACTAAAATCTCCATTTCTTAAAAATGTAATCATAATTTAATATCACAACTTACACAACTATTAATGACAATTCAAAGATAATCTTAACACTATACATTTTATTTCATGTTGGAAAATATGGACAATAATCTATTTTTTAAGAAATTGATATTATTTTAAATTTAACTCAACTTATTCTATCCATAACATGACTGAATCCTAGGTGTCTTAAAACTGTGAGGCTGTTAGACTAATCCAGCTATCTAAACCTCCTAATGAACCAACAAAGCTTAATTTCATGACTAGGCTTAATGCATCAAGAGTTTTAGTAGCTGATTAGCTGTCAGTACAACAACATACACTTGTTGTAGAACATCTTCTACAATGGTGAGGAAGAAAATATTTAAATCTCTACTATAAGTACTGCGGCTATAGCTGTATAGAAATCTTTTAACACTAAGATTCTACAACACTGAATTTTTTTAAAACACAGAAATACGCATTGTTGACTAGGAAGAAACACATGCCTCATGCCAAGTAACTATTATTTTAGTGATTAAGTTTTTTGATTTTTTACATTATTTTTACATAAAGGAATAATTGTAAGGATTAGAAAACTGATATTTTGTATTGGACAGATTTGTAAGAAATTGATTTTTAAATTTTTATAGAACTTGATTATTATGAAAATAAAAAATATAATGTCAATATAATAAATCAGCTAGTTATATCAGATTGGGAGAACAATGAAATGGATGAGAGACAAAAGAGAGGGGGAAAAATTTATAGACTAGAGAGGTGATACTAGAACAGAAAATAATATAAAAGATATGGTTTAGAAGCCACACCATGAATATAGATCAGGGCTAAATGTTGAGTGGAAATGCTAGCATAAGATATATAAAAAGAGCAGAATAAGCTTAATGCATATGTTGTAACTTAAATACAAACTATGAAATCTTTCAAAATGACATTTTGCAGGAATCAACTTACTTAAGAGTGTTTACATAGACAATGTAAGGTTCTACGCTGTAATCAAAAGATCATATATATATTATGTAATGGCCTATAAAATCATTGTCCTGAAACATTATAAAAAATGTGTACATGTTTTATAATTTAAAAAATTAAATTTAGAATCTATACCTTATGTTTATAAATTGTTGGACACTTGGGCATTCTAAAAATAAAAACAGGATTATTTACATTGCAAAACAACCATGTACTTACCATCATGATTAGGATTTCCTAGGGTCCATGGCTCATCTGAGTCAAAATGGGTATCTCCTCCAATTCCTGGTCCAGGGAAATAGGCATGTGCCAAAAATCCTCCCTCTCCATCAAAGGGAGAACTATCCCCATGAAAACCAGATGCAAAAATAATAGTTATATCCACGTCACGTTTGCCATTTTCCAATTCACTGTAGGGCACTTCTTCAAATGTCAGAGGAGTTACATTCTGCCACACATCAAAGGCACGGCGAATAGCTTTACGGGTCTCAGGGTCTCCTACTTTTGGAGTTACGTTCTTTATACTGAAAATTAGAAAACATTGTAATCAGTATAGCTTTGTTATATGGAACCTGACTTATTACAGATTTTGATCTATTCAGTTCAGTAAAATATTAGAGACAATTAGTCATTTTAAATTGAAATAAAATGCATTCATTTCTATTGTCTCTATTGCTAAATTTCACTGTATTGCAACTTATTAATTCTTAGCAGTATAGTATTCCTGTAGCAAAGTTATCAATGAGAAGATCTCTGCAGAATGATTAACAGTAAGGTAACTAGAAAAGGCACTTTGCCTCCTGGTCAACAACAGAAAAGCAAATTTGCTTATTGGGCAAAGCAGTTTTGAGCTGAAATAAAAATTTATAATTCTTTCTAGTTATAATTACTATTAGAGGTACACCGCTGTTTCTGCACACATCAATTTCAAACAATGCCTTTATACTCTTCTTTATCTGTAAACATCAATTCAGAAGGCACATAGATATTTCTTAATTTAAAAAATCAGATAATTATAATTTATTATATTCTATTGTTTCTTATTAATTTGTTATGGTTAAAAAAGTATTGTGAGTAAATATCAGTTTAATACAAAGGCTTAACTATTATAGGAATTTAGATAAGTAAGTTGAACATTATACATTTAGTTTGTTCTGATGCTAATAGCTAATTGATGAAATAATTTTAAATATTGTTCTTGATTATTTAACTAATCAAATGGTTATTTTCCCATTTATTTTTCTGTTTTTCTCTAAAATAGAACATAAATGAAACAAGTATATGTATATTTTATACTGTAGCAATATAAATTCATACCATGCATGTGAAAAGCAATGGGTTAATTCTATGAGTCATAAATATGTTTCAGACCTCTTCAGCCAATAATCTTACATCCATGAACTTTCACTAATGAAATATTTTTGACTCTTTTTTTTTAAGAGAAGAGGTCTCACTATGTTGCCCACTGTGGCCTCTAACTCCTGGGCTCATGCAATCCTCCTGCCTTAGTCTCCCAAGTAGCTGGAACCACAGGTATGTACAACCACTGTAGCTAGCTTATGAATAGAATATTTGATTACAAATAAAGGATATAATATTCAGGAGAATATGTATTTCTATGCACTCATAAAAGAGAATTGAAAGCTATACAATTTACAATGATAAAGTGATAGCTAAATTATGGTGCATCTACTGCATGTCATTGTATATATTGGAATCAAAATTATTTTGGCTTTTTAAGACTATTTATCAGCATGGAAAAACAATCTTTAAAAAAAAAAACCAACAAAGTTTATCAGAGAAAGAAGAGAGAGAAGAAAGAGACATGCCAGAGCTGGCATAGGCGAGAGAAACCTCCAAAAAACAACTTATAAAATAAACTTTCCAGTGAAAAAATACGCATATTATATTTTTATAATCTGATTTTAACTATGTCAAGATAATTACAAACAAGAGGCAGAAATTATGTAAGCTAATAATAGCATTAATGGGGCATTTACTATGCACTAGATAAGTACCTCATAATATCTAACTCCCGGATTAACCCAGTGTGATGAGGATTTAGATCTATCTTACCAAAAAAAGCAGTTAAGACTTAAAGGAATTTAGAAGAAAGCTTCTAAGTGGCAGAGCTGGAATTTCAGTCCAAATATTTTGGCTAAGAACTCCCTGTCTTAAATTCTATGTTAGATCACACATCTACGATAAAGTTTTCACTATTTTCTAATAAATATCAATAACACATTTAAATTTATTTTTTGGTCATAAATATTATGTATTATATATAAATGAGATGAGGAAGCAAACTAAGTGGAAATGAAGCGGAAGCAAGAGAGAAGGCCCGGCAAGTGGAAGGCCTTACGTGGGGACATTCTCGGCAGGTCCAAAGAAGAGCAAGGCAGCTGGTACAGTTTGGGGGGAGAGAGAGAGAGAGAGAGTACATGCAAGTATAAGGACATGAGATCAGAAGGTTAGAAGGAGATCAAATGAGGTAGGTTCTTGTAGGGCACTGCAAAGAGTTTGGTTTTTGCACTGAGTGAGAGGGGAAGAACTGAAGCACCATGAACAGAGACATGATGTTTTGCTTATTCCTTAATAAATGACTTAATCCATTATGTGGAAGCTATCTTGAGGTGGAGGGAGAGTTGAAATAGGGAGACCTATCAAGAATTACTGCAAAAATCCAGGTGAGACATGAAGGTGCTTTGGACCAGGTGGGTACTAGTGGAAATATCAAGAAGTGACTGTATTTTGGATATATTTTAAAGATTCACCTACCAAGATAGTATAATTTGGATTAGACCTAGGCTGCAAGGAAAAAGGAAGAACTGAAGAAGAAATCACTCTTTTTCAACCTAATCCAGAGAATGTATAGAGCAAAATAACTTATGCCTGCTCAGAGACATAGCTACACAGTATTTTGGTGGTGGTGGTACTTTTGTCCTTATTAGTTAGATAGTTTTAGCTTTATATCCTTTACAGCACGGTGCTCTGAAATATATCACAGAAAGAGTAAACATCTGTGTTGAGACATTGCAGATCTTTGTTTAGCTTGCTAGTCTCTAAATTCCCTGTCTAATGGCTAAGGAAGCATGCAAAGTCAATGTTGTAACATTGCTTTAATTTTGTCTACATTAATTTTCTTAGTAATCTTTTATTTTCTTACCATCCAACAGGATCTCAGAAGTCTTTAATTAGTGGTCAGGTATTCCTATAATACATAATTTGAAAGAACTTATTATATAATGGGTACTGTTCTAGGTGCTAGACACATAGTTGTGAATAAGACTTTGCTCTCATAGTGCTTATATATTCTAATGACAAGAGATAAACAATAAACAGAACAAAAAAGAGAGATAATTTCAGATAGTGATAAGTGAGAAGATGAGAAAGTAAGGTAAAGAAATGATAAATGGATAACAACTACATAAGGAGAGAAAGATACCTAGTACTGAGTTTCCAACCAGAAGAAACAGTAAGTAGGCCAGGCAAACTTGGCCACCAGTTCAATAATCCCATTTACAATACACACACACACACACACACACACACACACACACACACACACACACACAACTTTGGATTACAGCTAACCAAAAAAGTAAAAGATCTTCATAACAAGAACTATAAAACACTTTTGAAACAAACTGAAGATGACACAAACAAATGGAAAAACTTTCAACACTCATGAATTAGAAGAATCAATATTGTTAAAATGCTCATGTCACCCAAAGCAATCTACAGATTCAACACAATCTCCATCAAATCACCAGCATCATTTTTCAGAAATTGAGAAAAACAAAACTTAAATTCATATGGAAGCAAAAAAGAGCCTGAATAATGAAAGCAATCCTAAGCAAAAAGAACAAAGCCATTGGTATCACATTGCTGGATTTCAAACTTTACTACAAGGCTACAGTCACCAAAACAGCATGGTACTGGTACAAAAATAGACATATATATCAACGAAACAGAATAGAGAGCCCAGAAATAAAACTGGTGACCTACAACCAACTGATCTCTGACAAAGCCAAAAATAAACCCTGGGGAATGGACACCATATTCAATAAATGTTGCTGGAAAAACCAGCTAACCATATGCAAAAGAATGAAGATAGACTCTTTCCTCTTACCATATACAAAAACTAACGTGAGCTGGGCTCAGTGGCTCAGCCTGTAATCCCATGTTTGGGAGGCTGAGGTGAGTGGATTGCCTGAGCCTGCGGGTTGGAGACCCGCCTGGACAACTTGGCAAGACCTCATCTCTACAGTAAATCACAAAATTAGCCAGGCGTGGTAGCGTGTGCCTATAGTTCCAGCTACTTGGAAGGCTGAGGCGGAAGGATTGCCGGAGCCCGGTAGGTCGAGGCTGTGGTGGCTGGAAGCGTGCCACTGCACTCCAGTCTGAGTGACAGAGTGAGACTCCAACTCAAAAAGCAATAATAATAATAATAATAATAATAATAATAACTTAAGATGAAGGAATGACTTAAATGCAAAATCTCAAACTATAAAAAATCTCGAAGAAAGCCTAGGAAATTCTCTTTTAGACACCAGCCTAGGCAATTCATGACCAAGACCTCAAAAGAAATGCAGCAAAACGTATAAATGACAAGCAGGATCTAATTAAACTAAAGAGCATCTGCACGGCAAAAGACACTGTCAACAGAGTAAACAGACAACCTACAGAATGAAAGAAAATATTTACAAGTTATGCATTTTACAAAGAGCTGATATCCAGAATCTACAAAGTAATTAAAATAATTGACAGGAAAACAACAAACAATGCCACCAAAAAGTGGGAAAAGGACATGAACAGACACTTATCAAAAGAAGCCCCAAAACATAAATTTTAAAATGGCCAACTTAGCTGGGTACAGTAGCTCATGCCTGTAATTCCAGCACTTTGGGAAGCTGAGGTGAGAGGACTGCCTGAGCCCAGGGGTTTGAGAAGAGCCTCAGCAACTTGGCAAGACCTCGACTCTACAATAATTTTTTAGAAAATTAGCTGGATGTAGTGGTGTGCACCTGTGGTTCCAACTACTTGGAAGGCTGAGGTAGAAGGATCACCTGAGCCTAGCAGGTCGAGGCTGCAGTGGCCTTGAACGTGTCACTACACTCCAGCCTGAACAACAAAATGAGATGCCAACTCAAAAACAAAACAAAACAAAACAAAAAACTCAACCTCATTAATCATGAGAGAGATGCATATCAAAACTGCAATGAGATACCATCTCACGCCAGTCAGAATGGCTATTATTAAAAAGTCAAAAAACTACAGATGTTGGTGAGGTTGTGGGGAAACACTCACACTCACACACTGTTGGTGGGTATATATGCTAGTTCAGCCCTTGTGGAAAGCAGTTTACAGAATTCTCAAAGAACTAAAAATAGATTTACCATTCAGTCCAGCAATCTCACTACTAGTTATATACCCAAAAGAGCATAAACTGTTTTACCAAAAAGACACCTGCACTCATGTTTATCATAACTCTATTCACAATAGCAAAAACATGGAACTAATC